CAAAAGAGGGGTGGCCAGCAGGGACAGGCAGGTGATTGTTCCCCTCTACTCTGCTCTTGTGAGGTTTATCTGCAGTACTGCGTCCAAGTGTGGAGCCCCCAGTACAAAAAAGACAGGGAGCTGTTGGAGAGGGTCCAGAGGAGGCCATGAAGGTGATCAGGGGACTGGAGCACCTCCACTATGAGGGAGCTGGGCTGTTCAGCCTGGAGAAAAGGCGGCTGTGGGGTGACCTCATTGCAGCCTTCAGTACCTAAAGGGAGCCTGCAACCAGGAGGGGAATCAACTCTTTGAAAGGGTGAGTGACAGCAGGACAAGGGGAAATGGTTTGAAGTTGAGGGAGGGAAGGTTGAGGTTGGATGTCAAGGGAAAGCTCTTTATTGTAAGAGCGGTGAGGTGCTGAACAGCTGCCCAGAGGCTGTGGGTGCCCCGTCCATCCCTGGAGGTGTCCAAGGCCAGGCTGGATGGCGCCCTGGGCACCCTGCTCTAATATTAAATGAGAGGGTTGGAGATTCACGATCCTTGAGGCCCCTTCCAACCCGTGCCGCCCTGTGATTCTGTGTTCAAAGCGGCGCCGTTAATGTGCGGACGTGGAAGGCGGGCTCTGCGGGAGCGAGCGCGCCGCCTCAGCGCCGCCCCTTCTGCGCCTGCGCGGCCGCCATGTTGCGGCGCTTCATGCGGGCGGCGGTTCGCGCCGCGCTCAGCGCCTCCGCGCCTCCACGGCACCGCGCGGCACCGCGCCACGCGTGCACCGCGCCGCCGGACAGCGTGGGGCGGCTGCAGGCATCGCACTACCGCGTGGTGTACACCTGCAAGGTGCGGGGTCGGGGCGGCGGGCGGGGTGGAAGCGGCCCCGCGGGTCGGTGCTGCGCTACTAACGGGAGCCGCCGCTGTGCGCTTTGCAGGTCTGCCAGCGCCGCTCGGCGCAGAACATTTCCCGCCTGGCCTACAGCCGCGGCGTCGTCATCGTCACGTGTCCCGGCTGCCACAGCCATCACGTGATCGCCGACAACCTGGGCTGGTTCTCCGACCTGCAGGGCAAGAGGTGCGGCGGGGCGGGGCGGGGTCCGGTCCGGTCCGGTCCTCGCGGCTCCTCACGGCTGCTCGGGGCTCCCTCAGCCTCTGTTCAGTCGCTGCTGGGTTCTCCCACCTGTGAGCATCTCGGAGATGCTGTCAGCTCGCTCGCGCTGACATTGATTTCCCGCTCCCTTTAAAAACGAGGTTTGCAGTAATTGCTGAGTTATTGATCCTAAGGGGTGAGAACAGCCCTAGGGGGTTTGGGTAGTTTTCTGTCTGCTCCCCAGGCAGCTTACAGAAGGATTTCCCGTCGGTCAGCTCACTGGGTGATGTTCGTGGGCGAAGCCCCACACCAGGCTCTTCCCTCTGGCCTTTGCTGTAGCATCACTGTTGGCTCTCACGTTGCTGTTAAGGAATATCGAGGAGATCCTGGCAGCCAAAGGGGAGAAGGTGAGACGTGTGCTTGCTGAGGAAGCCCTGGAGCTGCTTCCAGAAGGCGTGGCGGATGCTGGCCCTCAGAGCCGTCCTACAGAGGGAGAAAGTGGGGACCCCCCCCCAGAGACTGATGGCAAGGAACGGACCTGACGAGTGGGACTGGTGCCATTCTGCTGATGGCAAGAGAGACTTTCACGTTTCTTCCTTCATTTCAATGGACCGTGCTTAGAATAAATGTGGGTGTCCGTCTCCTCTCTCTGTCCTGTTTTTGGTTGGTGTAGTTTTGCCTTTGACCAAGCTAATAATGACAGAGTTGGGCTGTGGATATTTTTCCTGGTACTTTTGTTGTTCTTAAAGCAGTTTTAGGTACCTCGGAGGCATTGGGAAGCCTGCTTTGTTCTCAGGTGAGAATGGAGCAAATAATTTCTGACCGTGTGCTTTGGCTCAAGCAGGTGTAGCACTAACTGAAGGTTCTAGCAGTGTCCTCTGGCCTTGTCCAGGTGTTGCACATCAGCAGCTGATTGCAGTGCTCCTGGAGATGCATCACGTGGCAGCTGAGCAGAAGAGGCAATTGGGACCACCTGATTACATGGCCTGACCACAGGTGAGTTTGCAAAGCCAAATGAGCCTGCAGGAGCATTGGACAGCTGGCTCATACTGCAGTCACTTCAGTGCTGCCGTTTTCTTTCCTGTGGTATCTTCCAGAGTTAAGGTTCTGTGCCCCACATGTCGTGGGGTTGTAGGTCTTTATTTGGGGTTACACCGCTTCTGCTCTGCCCTATGGCTGCCCCTGCTCAGAAATTCCTCGTGGGGTGGTGATGCAGTGAGCAGCCCTGTGGTTGGGGTTATGCAACTTCCTTACTGGTGAGGGGGAGGATGGGCGTGAAGGAACAATTAGTATTTGTAAAGCACGTTGGAGATAAGTGGAGCACCTAGAAATGTGTCTTATTTGACAGACATTGAGGTGCTTATTAATGCCACTGCTGCATGTTAAGATCAGCTAGAAGAGAAAATAATAACTTCATAAATGAAAAATGTAGGTGTTTACCCGAGTGCTGTGTGCTGGTAGTGATGAATCAGGCAGTAAGGTGATCATACTGCAGTTTCTTTGGGCTCCTTTAGCTTGCATAATTTTTATGGGTTTGAGGTCTGTTAACTTCTTAGTACAACAAAGTATCTGCTTTCTTGTGTTTTTAAACTTGGTAGCAGAGAGTAATTGAGGTTGGAGGAGCCCAACCACTGTGCTTAAAGGAGGTTCAATTAGATAAGGACACTCAGGGTCGTGGCTTGAGTTTCTCTGAGGATGGAAGCCTCGTAGCCTTTTTAGATCTGGTATTTGACCTATCCTATAATATAAGAATAAAATGTCTCAATACCTAATAGGAATTTCCCACGTTTCATCCTGTGCCCATTACCTTCTTTCTAAACGCTGGATTTATGAGGAGAGCCTTCTCTATTATCACTCTCCCATTAAAGAGCAATAAAAATTCCTTTCCAAAGCTGAACAAAGCCAGTTCTTTCAGCCAAGCGTGGTGCTCATGGATTCATCATTCAAGTATTCAGTGAGTGCATTGCATGCATTAGCAAGTGTAGCTCATTCATCTGAAGTGTTTTACATGTGTTGCATTATCAGTATGGATCAGAGTGACAAGGAAACAATCACATTTCTCTGGTGATAGGTAAGTTCAGGGTGATGAAACAGCTTTGAAGGGCAGGGCATCCATCAACTGGGTGTTGTGTGCGTTCACATCCTCATGAAACACAGCTCTCTCTGAGACAATTAGATGGGGAAGTGATCCATGTATTTATTAAGAAATAGGAGTGGAACACTGCTGTGTGCTCACCCTGTTGTGAGCTGCTGGCTCCTGTTAGCACTGCTGGAAAAGTGGTTCTGGTGTTGCACCTGAAAACAGCTCTGTGCTGCCATTGCTCACAGGGCTTTGATGGGGTGGAATGGAGCTGCTGTTACAGGATCTGCGTTGTCTTGGAAACAGTTCATTTATAACCTAACTTTTGTAATACTGTTTTCCTTACCTTTCTGTGCCCTTGGCTGCAGACAGGCTGTGCTAGCTTCTGCTCTCTTACAGTAGGAATTGTAGCTAAAAGTGTCATTGCAGCATTTCTGGTCCCTGGTGCTCGGTGCTGCCCAGTGGCAGAATGGAGGCTGAGCCATGCTGCTCACCCATGGGCACCTATCTGTGAATTTGAGGATGGTGAGAGGCCTGCTTTACTGCTGCTCCTGCTGCTGGAGGCAGCTTCGAAGGCTTAGGCCAGCAGCTTGGGCAGAGCACGAAGCAGTAGGCTGCACAGAGTGGGTGAATCTTCAGGGCAGGGTAATGGAATGGGACACAGGGAGCTCAGAGTTCTGTGAAACAGCTGCAGCAGGCAGGGTGCAGCCTATAGGGCTCCTCAGAACCAAGCACAGACTGTGCTGTGCAACAGGACAGGAAGCTGGTGCTTTTAAAGACAAACATTCTGGGACCTTCAGCTGGAAGGGGAGAGGGTTGAACCTCTCTGATGGGCTTTGGTAACAAAACAGGAGGGTTTGTTGCTAATAGCTTGCATTTAAAAGAATGTCATGCTTTATTTTGAAGAGGTTTTTGGGTTTTTTTCCTCTTTTTTTTCTTTCTGAAAAAGAGGAAGCATATCTTTCTGGGAAGAAGGGAAAAAGCCTGCTGGAGCTGCAGCATGGTGGGAACCAGTGATGCCCAAGCCTGGAGCAGCAGAGCACGGTGAGTGACGGTGCACTGGGTGTCTGAGGCACAGAGAAGTGATTTTGAGGCAGACAGAGCAGCATTCACAGGATGCACTGCTGACATAAACGTTTGCTGTGTTCCTTGAGGCATTTCACTGCAGCTGATGAGAGCTGCATTCTTTTCCTCCATCCTATCCTGCAAGAGCTTTGCTGTGAAATAGGAAATACTTTGCCTCTGGCTTTCTGCCTCTCCTGTTTTATTACATTCAAATTCCAGAGTTCATCCAGCTACTGGGGATGCTGATGGGTTGCAGCTGTTGGCTGCAGCAGGTGCTGATGTTCTTATGTTCCCCCCAGCAGTGGTGCAGGGGTGTTTGGTAGAGTGCATAGAGATGGGAGCCCTATGGGGTGAGGAAGTGAATGTGTGTGTGTGTGTGTGTGTGCAAGGGAGGTAGAAGGCTGTGAAGTGTGCTGCTTCCACAGGGTCTCATGTAAGCTTCTGGCCTGCCAGGTCCTGCTGCAGTGGGGGCAGAGAGGTACAGCAAGGTGAGAGCCCTCTGCCCAACCCCTGCAGGTGTGTGGCTGATACCTCTGTGCATGTCCCTGGGCTGTGATCTTCAGTGCTACAGAATACTGAGCTTGTTACTGCAAAACCATGCAGGAGTTAACCCGTGGCTGTGTCCTGGCCTAGCAGCAGTGGGGGAGGCTGTTATGGAGTGCCTCTGAAAGCTGTCTGGCTCCAGACTGGAGTTTACAGTGCTGGGCTGCTCAGAGCCAGCAGACCACTCCCCATGGACTGCATGCCCTTCCAGCCTCCTGGAGATCATGGCTGGAGCAAGAGCAGCACGAGGCTCAGGAGGGGGTTGAGGTAAGTGCTGAGACTCAGACCTGATGTGACTTGGCAGATGAGTTTGCAATACAAAAACTCCCACCAGGCACACGGTCAGCACGAGCTCTCAAGCATCTCTCAGGACACTTAGAAAGCGAGGTAGGAAGGAGCAGTATCTTGTGTTTCTGATGTTTTTTATAGATTTCCTCCCCATTAGAGCCCTGCACTGGGGCCAGCACTCTACTCTGTATTTCACAGCTGCTGCAGCAGCTGCCCTTGGCAATCCAAGGCCAAGTCAGCCCCAGCAATCCCTCCTTTATCCGATGGGTGCCAGCAGTGAGCTGCTCCCTCCATAAAACCAAGCTCTTCTTGTTCTCTGCACACTATGAATGCTATTGGAGGATGCTGTGTTGTTCTCTTTTACTGGAGAACACAAATCCTTTCCACAGCTGCTAAGGACAGTGAGACAGCAGGCAAGATAGGCCCCCATCACTTAGTTATAGGAATCATCACCTGCTTAGATTCCTGGGAATCTAAACCTCAAGATTTTGCATAGTTGGGGGCATGGTTCTGTCCTCAAGTCACACACAAAGCCTTTGGCAGGACAGAGTTTCATGTATCTGAGTAGTGAGAAGCTTAAGAATGCCTGATGAGAGCAAGCTGGTGGCTCTTTATTTAGCTTTGATTGGGACTGGCAATAGTCTACACAAGGTAGCCAGGCATAGGAAGACCAGCTGGGACTTGGCTTTATTCTCACAAGCCTCAGGATCCAAAATCTGCTGCTCTCTGGCTCCCTCTCTAGCAAAGGCTAATAGCCAGCTCACTCCTGCTGTGTTGGAATGAGCTTGCACTGCTGCCTGCTGCTTTTTGAGTATCCTCACTAAGGGCTTACAGCAGGGCATTGTGCAGAAATGGCTGCCCTTTTCTTCCAGCAGCTGCCACCAGGGAAACAAGACCTGTTTTTTGGGACAGGCATAAAAGTACCTCACCTGAGAGGAAGGGTTCATCCCTGTTCCTAGGGGAGGGCTTGAGCTCACTGGGAGAAACAAATCCTTGACAGTCACAGGCTGCTTTGGATACCCTATTGTTGCTATACTCTTGGGTTTTGACTGGTGTTTAGGGGTATGGAGTGCTACAGGGCTTTGGAACTTTCTTTACAGCACCTGGGATGATGGCTACTTCAACAGCAACATGTGTGCTTGTAAAGTAAAGGGAGATGTAGGTGCACAGATACAGCCCTTTCTTAACACTTACACATGGTGACAGTTGCCACAAGAACACACTCTGCACCCCCTCTCCCCTCCCCAAGAGCCACCATTAGCAAAGCAGGAAAGATGGCTAAAGAATAAGGAAAATGAGTTTTCGCCACTGAAGCTTAGACACAAATATTTATTAAGCACAACCCTCCCTTTCCCTTGAGCTGTATTTGTTTCTAATATATTAATTCATTTGGCAGATTATTTTTTTTTTTTAGAAAAAGTACCTGTGGGTTGGAAATCCCCCATTAAAATGACATTAGCAAATGCACATGTAAAAAATAAATAAGCTCATACATTCAAGTATATGGCAAATAATTAACACCTCTGAAAGCTTAATGGTCAGATTCCAGTTCACCACCTGGCTGAGAGCTGAACAGGGCCAAGTCATCTTCATCTCCCATGTTGTCCTCTTTACAGGTACAAGCTAGGTGGGTAGATACGTGGCTGTGCACATTCTCCTGCCTCATCTCCAGCTATCTGACCTGGCCCAGGAAGGAGGCAGAGGCTCAGCCCAGCACTCTGGGCAGCAGGTGAGTGCTCCCTGGTAGCAGCTGAAATGCAGCTACCCCTCCCATGGTCAGTATAGGCAGGTTAAATGCCTGGTGAGCAGCATCACTGGTCTGAAAATCTTACCGCTGGTAGGAAATGTCTCTGTCAAATGCATTTTGATTTACAAAGTGCTGATTTGTTCCCTATAGGAAACACATCTGCTTTGGCAGAACTCATTACTGGAGTTTCTCAAGTCCAGGATAGCCTTTCTGGTCAAGCATTCCGCCTCCTGAAGTTTGATCTCTGCTGCCCTCCTCAAGCATTTCCAACTTTACCAAAAGGGATGAAAGTAAATGTAGACCCTTGCATTTGCATACAGGGTGAAACTGAATTCCCAGTAACTATCTCAACCTGGAGCTGTCACCAGGGTTCCATTTCTTGCTAGTGTGGGACCAGACAGTGTGCAGAATAAGGGCTGCCTTGCTGAGAGCAGGTCTCCTGGGGCACGGAGCAGCACAGCATTGGTTTCTTTCAGGAGAAACAAGGGGAGGGAAGTGCTATTGTCCTCCACTGCCAGATGCAGGGGATAGTTCTGCTTGCTCTCCTGACAAGCCACAGCCAGAAAACATTGCTGGCTTACAAAGCAGGTCAGTGCCAGATGCAGGTTTCTGCCTTAAGTACACTGGACAGTCCCATGTGAGGCTTCTGGCTCAGCTGCACCAGAAACAGTGAGTTCAGCTAAGTTTGATTTCTGTGCTGAATAGATGGGCAGACGACTTTCTTCCTTCTTTCCAAGGCACCAGCTCTTGTCTTGTGGCTGCAATGCAGGCTGCATAGCTGGCACTTACCTTTCAGGCTTTGTCCCATGCTTGTTCTCTGGAAGTCTCCAGATCCCACTAAAGGTAGAAATGGGAGAGCTCCAGCTCCTGCTTTGGAGCTTCTGGCACAACTCTGTACAGGAGCAGCTGAGGAAGCAGAGGGGACAGCATACAGCTCTCACTGCAGAGTTCATTGCAACCCCAGAACAAACTTCAAAGGGTGGGGGACCATAGCTGCAGCCAGGGGTGGGGTGAGCTTTAAAAGGTCCTGTGCAGCTTCTGATTTGGGCTCATTTCCTTCTGCAGAAAGAACAAAACTGATGAAGATGTTCCAGGAAAGGATCCAGAACAATTTGTGTCATCTCATGACGCAGATGTGACTGCAAATATGAAAAAGGTGCTCTTCCCTTCCCCTATTAAAAGTATTTTAGAAATAAAGATTGAGGCTGCATTTAACTACCTGCTCTGGGCTCCTCCTTCAGCTGCTAGTGTGAGTTCCTGGAGTTTTAGGTGACAAGCAGAGGGGCTGCCAAGGTCTTCTTCCCTTGAGCTGTGCCCATTGTTACAGAAGCAGCATCTCCTAAAAAACGCTTGTTTAAAAACAGTCCCCTCCTGTGAACAAGTGCAGTGCAGTTGAGGTGCAGATCCTGGAAGAAGTCTGGTGGTGCAGGAGCACTCTGGTTTGAAACTACCTACACTTAAGTTCTTTTTGAAAAAAAAAACAAAAAAAAAACAATTGAAACCAAAACAAACCCCCCAGACTTCACCCTAGTTCTTAGCTAGAACCAGGCCTTTGCTGCTCCTCTTCTGCCTCCTCTTGTGCTGAGGCCAGATCTACCCTCTGCTCATCCATGCGTTTGGCCTGGACCCGCTGGATGAGGCTGAAGAAATCCTCATCTGGCATGGTGGGACCACGGGGGATGGAATCTGGTGGTGCACAGCGCTGGTCGTCTATCCTGGAGGACTACAGGGGAAGAACAGGGGTTAGGGCTGCATGCTGACAGCCTGCAGGTGGGCAGCTGCTGCCCACAGCCCCCAGTCAGCCTGGTGAGAGCAGGGGGGCATTGCTTGCTGATGGTGGAGAAAGTAGCCCACCCCCTCCCTCCCACTCAGCCCTGCTGTACCTGACACTTCATCAGCATGTTGAAGAACTCATCCCCTGGCTCCTGGGCATCCCCCTCCATGCACAGGTGCCCCAGGTTGTTGTGTGTTATCCGGAGGCCTGGCAGGTTGCCCACATTGGCACGCTGGTCATCCAGCCGTCTGCTCTGCGAGCTGGCAATGAGATCGAAGAACTCCTCTGTCTGTGGGGATGCCATCAGGGAGGAGTGTGCTGGGAGGGGGAGAGGAGAACACCAGGGTCACATCTCTGCTTACCACAGAGTCCCAGTTCTCACCAAAACGCTGTTCAACCAACAGACTTAAGCCCCTGTTTGAGAAGCCTCCCAGGCCTGAGTTGGGTAGGACACCAGTTTCTGTGACCAGCACCATTCCCTTCCACCCTGCGTGGTAAGCAGGAACAATCCCACTGCCAACAACACAAGCAAGCAAGCAAAAACCTACCATCAAAGCAGGGATCAAAGCCCACGGCCCAATCGTGCAACCACTCACACCCTTCTCTGGATGCCAATGCTGGGGCACAACCCTACCTGCAGGTACATGGCAGTCACCTCCCAAAAACCTGCAGGCTGCATCATACATACCCTAGCATGTAGGGTAAGGCAAAGATTTTGGCAGGATGCTGCTGCCACTTTGGTGCAGGCACCAGCAGTTGCAGGTGACTGTACAGTTCCTGTGCACTGCTGTGGTTCCTTACTGGGCACTGCAAAGGTCCCAAGGGTGTAACTGCAGGCAGGTAATGTGCAAAGCAGGGCCTGGCTAAGCCATACAGCAGAGCAATGCCCCCAGCCAGGGCAACACACAATGCATGGGGCCTGCTGGTTCCTGGCAGCTGCTGGGCAGCAAAACACTCACAGAACAGGAACTGCACTTGGGATGGGGACAAGCAAGCGGAGCTGTAAGAAATCCAGCCTGGAAGGGGCATCACCTCAAGGAGCACAAAGCACTTGAGGGTGTCCCAAGGTCCTGACACTGCTGCTCCAACAGCCCCAGCTCCTGGAGTTGTAGGAATGCACAATAACTGCAGCACTGACCCCCTTCAGCTACAGTTTGGACACAGCGTGTCTAAAAAGCTCAGAGACCAAGTGATGGATGAACAGAAAGTATGCCTACTTGAACGTTCTTAATAAAGCTTCATACTCATAAGGTACACAGCTGTTACAGCCAAATGCACTTCTGCACCAGAAACACATCTTGAAAAAGCGATGTTCGCTTCCACCTTATTTTTAGCACAGAAGAAACTGCTCACCTGGGAGCGACCCGCATCCCTGTGAGCCCACAGAGGGACCTGCACACCCTGTTTGCTTTAATCAAAGCACCTCAACACGCTGTCATAAAAAAAGACACAAACCCAGAGCACAAACACAGCCCTGGCCTGCCTTTCCCATCCTATTTGTCAGATGGTTTCCTCCATTTATCCGTGTTCTTTCTACAAGCAAAGCTCGCTGTCTGCGCACCCAGAGCTTCCTCTTGTTTATCCATCCTGCTGCCTTCTCCATCCTTACGCAATACCATTCACCGCAGCATCCAACAACCGTACAAAACCCAGAAGTTTTTCCACTCTGCACACACTGAGAACACCCAGCAGCATCTTCCCCTCCTGCCAGAGCCCACCCGGGCCATTGCACAGCAACACCACACAGCCAGCCGTGCAGCACGACCCAGAGTCGCAGCGACTTATCAACACCTCCATGCTTACGTATCCTTTCTTCCAGGGCTGGGACTGGAGTGGCTGCTGCCTCTGCAGCCTCTGCCGGGCATTCCTCCAGCGGGCAGCGCTGATCGTCCATCCGGTTGCTCTGGAACTTGCTCAGCAGGTCAAAGAAGCATTCCTCATCTGAAGGGGTCCGGTTGATTTTCTGCAAAGACAATAAAACAGAGTCAGCATGCCCCAACCACCTCTCACTGCGTGGCCTTGGCAATGCTTTCACCCTGCCCAGAGCTGGACTCCGCTCTATGCCTGTCCTTCTCCATGCACTGCACCTGCCCAGGGTCACTGCCTCTTAAACTCTGTGCTCCTAGCTCAGAAACAGCCTCTCCTTTTTCTCTTTCCTCACCACCCATTGGTTTGGACAGTCCAAAGAAAACCAGCCTCTGAGAAGAGGCCATGAACAGAGCAGTGGGGAGTGCAAGGGGTGGAAGAACCCAGCGGGTGCCCCCCCATGGGATGCTGCCATGTGCCAGGCTCATCCACACTGCTTACCCCCTTTTCCCGAGCTGCTAAACATAACTTCTGCACACCACAGCCCCCACTTTCTTCCGACGTGCCGTAGCACCCTGCTTACTTCAGCCATCACCAAACTGCAAATGCCACAAAATTACAGTTCTTCAGGAAAACGGTTCTTGCATGAGAGCCCCAAATAAGAACCTTGCACCAGACAGTGATATATTTAAGTTGTGTTGCTGAAGGGTTAGCACTCACATCAGCCTCTAATTGCTGTGCCATGCCGGAGATGGGCAGGGTGCTGTGCCAGGAGAGTGAGCCCAGGTCCTGTGCTCACTGCTGCACAGCAGAGCTCTCTGGAGGACCTTTGGTGAGGGTGTGCAGTGCTGATCCCAGCTCAGGGCTGCTCCCTGGGCATGCAGAGTGCTACCAGGGAGCCCCGTGCTGGGGAGAGCTGTGTGTTGACAGGGTTAAAGCTGCGAGCCAGAGTCAGTAAACGAAGGAAAACAATTTTCCTGTATGCTAAGCAAAGCAGATGAGATGCACTCAGCTTCTATTTAGGGCAGCGTCAAAATTAGCAGCGGGCCAGAGAGGAACATTGGCAATGTGGGAGCAGAGAGGGGAGGGAGAATCTCCTCTCACCTCCTCCCAGGTGCTGACCCACAAATGGAGCAGCAGCACGGACAGACCCTCTGCACCATCAGCCTCTGAAACCACAACCTGAATGAGCTTCAGCCAAGGATGAACAGCATCTATCACAGCCCTGCCGTGCTGGCTCACATGACCCAAACTTGAAGGTGGAAGAGGAAGCCTGCTCATTCACACCACAGCTCCCTGGGGGTAGCACAGAGTTAGTGGGGGCAGTGGCACAACCCAAGGAGAAGTTCCACCTCATGGGGGATGCAACAGACAGAGCTCATGAGGAGACCACATTCCCCATAGCACAACCCACCAGGGATCCATCCATTTACCATTGCAGAACCTTTGCTCCAAACGCACCCAAGAGAGGGAAGGATGCTCTGCCTGGCACCCCCTCAGAGCCCCACACCTCTCTAATTAAAATGCCCCAATGTAACACTGCACAGAGCCCTGCCTGCTGCCAGCCCTGAAGAAGGAGCTGTGCAGGCAGATGGACAGGCTGTGCCCTGGGGTGCACCGTCTGCTGCTGAGCTGTGGCTTCCTGAGAGCCTGGGCATCCCCTAACAGCTCTGAGCAACAGTCCTCCAACAGCACAACCACCACCACAGTGTTACCACGGGCCCCAGCCCCACAGCTCACCCCACGCCCTGTCCAAAACCTCAGCTCCCTACCCACAGAAAGGCCACGTACACAGCACTGCAGCTTTGCTCCTGTTCTCTATGAGGAAACAGAGCACCCAGCAGCCTGGCTAATAACAGCCTGAGAGAAGGACTCGCTTACCTGAAACACACCTCCCTCCCTCCCTGGAAGGCAGTAGGGATGCTGTGTGCTGGTGCAAGCAGTAGGCTGTTCAGCCTGTCAGGTGGGATTCAGGATGTGTCAAATACAGCTGCAGTGCTGGGAACACAGGGAGCAACAGTAGCAGTGCTGGGCTGCCCTGAGCTCCTCAACCTGCAGGTCACTGCCTGGTGAAGCAAAGGTGCCCACTCACCAGTGCAAAATAGAGCTTCTCAGCCTCTGTCCACCTCTGTCCCCTGGGCACAAAGCAGCATTTCATAGGGGCCAAACCCAACTATTCTGCCAGACTGGCTTCTCCTCTCAGTGTCCCCATGCAGCAGGGTCAGGGGATAACATAGCAGGTTTCAGTGCTGCTCCCACAGCCACCCCTTGGAGAGTTGTTCCTCAGCAACCTGTCTAGCAACAGTTCCACCCCATCCCATATCAGTAAGCAGACTACACAGAGATGAAGGGATTCACCAAGTAGCGGAGCAGGGACAGGACCCTGCACCCCATCCCAGCACCCCATCCCCAGAGTAGACCTTCTGGCTGCAGACACTTCCCAGACAAACTGTGCTCCAGACCCAGCAGATATTCGCCCCGACACATCCGTGCCCGTGTGTCATCTCCTATCTGTCTCTCCCCTATCAACCAGATGCATCCCAAGCACTTACCCAACTCTCTCTTCAGGCAGCCGACCCAAAAATCACCAGGCAGGAGCAGCAGCACTTCACACAATACACACAGTATTGCCATC